AAATACACAAACTGAAGCCTTTGCAGGGGGATATAAAATTTGATAATAATTTCAGACAATTACTTCCTAGGCTCTTAGACCATAATCTACATCCATGATACCGCTCCATGATACATATTTTTTGAGGTTATCTGTACAAGGGCATTTTTTGTCTCACAGAGGTTCGGAAACACTTTCATTTTATTTTTTTAAAGAAGCATCAAAAAATTATGATTCAAGAACTTGAAACCCTAATGTAACAGGCAAAGCCTCATTTTTACGAAATATGAAACACTCTGTGTGTCTTCTACTTCTAATAGCTCGTCAAGAGATGCCACCACTAAATCATGCTCCTGCAGTATTTCTGGGTAGCTGGACACTGCCCACTCGATCCTTGCTGAATGCTGCACAGGAGTGATGAGCTTCATGTCTTGCACTTCCGGCATTCCACTTAAGCTTGGGATTGAGGAGATCTGTAATTTGATACCAGGATGATTCTGTGGTTCTGCCTTGGTTATCTGGGGTACTGCTACAACCTGTTCCCTCTCTTTTGGAGAAAGACAAGGCTTTTCAGATTCCATCTTCATGACCAGCTCTTCTACTGATGTTTTATTAGTTTCAGCAACTAAACAGTCAGAGGTTATTTCTGTGCAAGCCAGGAAGACAAGTGATTTAATACTTAAGCTAAAATTCATTAAAATAAAAAAGTCATACATTCAATGATTTCCCAGTGTTCCTAATGGACTCTATATACTAGATCATGATTAATAGCCAACAACTTGGCTTTGCAGATCCAGAATTTAGCGAATTTTTCAGCCTCAGGAATGCTGGACAATATGGTAAATATTTCATTAGAAAATACACCCCCTTCAATGAGCTGCAGACATTCGCTCAGAGTGTTGTTAATTTTGCTGGATAGTTAAAGTTGGGCTTTCTTTTCCTCCTCTTTTTCAGTGCTCTTCCAGAATGAAATATTCATTTCCTCTATTATTTTTCTTTTTGTTTTAAGTTCCATAGGAGGCCGTTTATAGATTTTCCCCTTAGATTTCTGCCATTCTAGTTGTTTCCTTCGGTCTTCTGTTCTGCTGTTGTATTTATTTCCATTGGTTCCATCTGCACTAATGCTTGGGGTGCTTGGAATAACTGAATTAAAGTTGGCAGTTGTCAGATGAGACCTCTGGCTTATGGCTTTTGATCTCTGAAGTGCACATGATCTTGGAGGTCTAAAATAAGGTTGAGTGGACTTCTGATTTTCCTTCGCATTTGGATGTTTGTTACCATACTCACTCTGAGGCAAATTGGGGTATATTCTGGGTTTAGAAGTTTTTACTTTCTGTTCATTAACAAGGTATGACTGTGACTTAGTTTCTTTTAGTTCTTTGTATTTACTCCTACTAACCTTTATGTCCTTGACCACTGGCTTCTTTAATACTTGAGTCCTATTAAAGGTCTGAATATGGTGAGAGGGAACTGTTCTTCAGTGTTTTTCTCTTGGTCTTGTAAGACCTGCTCCTTTAGACAGTTGCTGTGACTTTACTGGTAGAGTCCTGATTTGTGTTTCTCCAACAAGTTGCTTATTAACTCTGTCTTTAAGAACAGCACTATTCACTGAACTTTTGCCCATGGCTTATTTAGGAGCCAAACTTCCCTTGATTGGATTATGAGAGTTAGTCTTTGTCTTAGTTATGGCACATCATTCAGGATCTGGCTTTCAGGTTCTAATAAGGTTTGCGGCAAGTTCTCTTTGTTCACCTCTTTCAAAAAGATATCCGAAGATTGGTTTTCAACATGGGTACTGTCCACAGAGTCTATACATTTAGCATTTCCTTGATCTGTTACTTGCTGCTTTATAGGTTTCAATTCCTGCATATTGAGTAACCCCACAGGTTTTCTTGACAGTTCTCCTGCAGTGGATGATCCACCTTCATGCAGCTGATGAGTCCTGCTGGAATACTTACCGTTTGGCATCAAAGAAACACATCCTGAAGTCAGCCCTTTGCCCACAAGTTTTGGTGGCTCCAACTTTGGCTTCTGTGACCCTGTGATATTGGCTGTTCTGGGCTGGAGTTTAATGCTAACGGGCTGTGTGGTTTTGACAGGCAAGACAACATGGCGAGTAACATCCTTTTTTGGGTCTAATAGTAGATTTAGGAGGTGGTGGATTCGGGCAGTAATTCTTGGCTTTTAGATAAGGCTTGGTGTTTTGGTTCTTTAGTTTTCCCTTGGCTGCAAGGTATTCTTGGAGTTTTCTCTGCTGTTCTTCTGCGGCAGCAGCGGACCCGGGCCGCACCATGACTCCTCAACGACAATTTTGCTTCTGATCCTGGATTTCTAAGACTGAGAAGATTGGACCAAATCATCTTTAAGTGTCTTTCCAGTTGAAACAGTTTCTGACCTAGTTAGGAACTCAAACCATGCATCCTTAAAGAGTCATACACCACCAGAAGGTCATACATGATGGATAGGGATAAATCCAGATAAGAGAAGTGCTTAGAAAGGAGGAGGATGTGTTTAGGAAGGAGGAGGAACAGAGGAAGAGCCTGCTGGTTGAGAGCAGAGGCAAGAACTGTGGAGTGTGAGGTATGGGGAGTGGTCTGGAGAGGACCAGACTCAAGAAAGGTTCTGGCATCTTGAGAACCAGCAGATAGCGTAATGGCTATGTCGCTGGACTCCCACGTAGTCGACCGCAGTTCGCGTCCCAGACCCGGTGGCTTAGAACTCACACCGGGCGCGTGTGCGTGCGTGCCCAAGATCCTGAGAGGAGAATGGAGGAGAAGGGATTGCGGCGTGACCATCCCCCCTGGGGGGTGATTTCTCACTTTTTGTCTCTATGTCTCTGCCTGTCTGGCGAGCACACGCACCCTATAGCAAAAACCTCTCAAAAAAGAAAAGAAAGGTTCTGGCATCTAGTGGGAGGCCAATAATTTTATTGGCATCCCTCACCATGCTAGGCTGTTCTGTTGTTAATCTAAAAAATACCTGAGAGGCCAGCAGGTGGCTTGGTGGTTAAGGCGCTGGACACTCCCACATGGCTGATCATAATTCGAGTCCCAGCCCCAGTTGCTTGCTTTCTCACTTTCTCCCTCTCCCTCTCCCTCTCCCTCTCCCTCCCTCTCTCTCTCTCTCTCTCTCTCTCTCTCTTGTCAAATTAAAATAAGAGAATAAATAAATAAAATTAAATAAATAAAAAATACCTGAAACTGTGTGGTTTATAAGAATAGAAGTTTATGGACCAGCAGGTAGCATGGTGATTGGAGCACTCAACTCTAACATGGTTGGCTGCGATTCAGATCCCACACCTGGTGACTTGCTTTCTCACTTTCCCTCTCTATCTCTCTCTGGTGAGCACACATTTCTTACAGCAAATTTTAAAAAGATGATGACAATAAATAATATTGAATAAATAATTCTAAAAAAAATAGCAAGTTTTCAGCTCAGGTTTGGTGGTCCTATGTCAGGGGCTGAATCTGGTGAGGGTCTTCTGGCTTGATTATAGCATAGTGGAGGGCGGGAGCTTTGGGAGAGCAGTGTGTGCCCATGTCGTGGGTGTCTCATTCTCTCTCCTTGTAAACTCGCCAGGCTTCGGTCATGGGGGCCCCATTCTAATTAATCACAATTTCCTTCCAAAAACCCTACCTCTCAACACCATAGTTGAATTATGTTTCCACCCTCTTAATCCCATCACAACCCAATCTCAACACATGCATTTTAAGGGGGCATTCAAACCATGGCACTCACTCTGGCCTCAGGAAACTAGGCCAGAGCTTCCCTGCCCCAGGCTGGCTAGGCTCTGGCCTGCTACACAGAACCACCTCACACCTGGGCAGCTCAGAGCTCCACTGCCAGGGAAGCCAAACTTCATCCTGTCTCTTTCCCACCAGCAGGAAGCTAAGATGGGCTCAGAATGACCTAGTGTGGGTCTCAGCTCAGTGGGGGAACCAGTATTCATTTCACACTGCCCATCACAGCCATTTTGGTAGAGGTGGGAGCAATGAGAGCCAGATGGAGCAAGAGGCAGGAGGGCTACTAAGCAGACAGACCAACAACACCCCTTCCCCTCACTGCTTCCACCTGTACTCAGGCAGCTTATTTCCCAGCCCAGCTGGGATGAGTCAATGAGCCTGATGTCATGGTGGCAACTAGTGAGGCCAGGGAACCACCCTGTGACCTGGCAGCATCAACATGTCATTTTTCCAAATAGTCAGAAGCTCCTTGAGAATCGGCATCATGCTTTTTAAACTGTAGTCCTCTGGACCTGCACTGGGCATGATCAATGTTGGTTGATAATGAAAGGAATGAAAGTGAAACTGCTCAGAAAGGACCCGGAGAATCCCCCTAGATGTGTTTTATGATCTCTATAGCAGTTAAAACAGTGTTAACCTATCAGCACCTTGAGATCCATTAGAGAAATGTAACATTAAAAGAATCCAAGCAGGTGGTGTAGTGGTAAACGTGATAGACTTCCACATGGCCAGCTACAGTTCAAGTCCCAGATTTGGCAGCTTGAAAATCATGCCTGGTGTGTGTGGGGGTATGCCCAAAATCCCAAGAGGAGACTGGAAGAGAAGGGACTGCGGCATGGCCATCTCCCCTGGGGGGTGATTTCTCATTTTCCCTCTCTCTGATTGGACCACAAGGGGTTGTGATCAATGCTAGGCAGATTTGGAATCATGTTACTGCATGAAATGCTATTCTGGGAGGTGGTTGAAAGAGATGTACAGAGGTGTAACCATGAAAATTCAGAGGCTGAGAAAGGAGGCTGCAGAGTGGGAGAACTAATAGGGTAGGGAGGGATCATGAAGTCCTGAGGGCTGGAGGTGGTCAACCTTGGGACATGTGGAACCAGGGCCAGTTATCCTGACTGCTTCCTCCCCATATATTTGTGCTGATGGCATCGGATGAAAGGAAAGGGAGCCACCCCCAGCCACTCATCTGGGTCCATCTGAACCCGTCCTTCATTACAGGATGTAAATGACTATAACAGCCCAAATAGAGCCTTTCTTTGGACACCTATCACAGTCTGATAGAGATCAGAGCCTTAAATCAAAGAGATTAAATTACAAGGAAAGCAGGTGTCACCTGGGACTGCATTTTCCAAGTCATCTGAAAGCCAGAGGGGACCTGCCTTTATTCTAAACATGACTAAAGAGCATGAGGATCAGAGGGAGGGTTGGGATCTGAGAGAGAGAGAAGGGAAGAAAAGAATACCCATGGTGGATGGTTACTGTTGGGATTTTGGGCCTGCTGACACAACACATGTACCCAGTGTGTTTTTCAAGCTTTGGGTCTGAGACTCAGACGGTATGGTTGGCCATGTGGGATCTAGCTTCCTTAATCATGAGGCCACTGGCTGGCTCTTAGTTTTGAACATAAAAGAGTTTTAAAAATAAAAAATAAATTTTAAATTTTAAAATAGAAAAATAATGGGACATGGTGGTTAAGGGCGCTGGACTTCACATGGCCAACCTTCAAGTGCAGGACCTAGCAGCTTGCTTTCTCACTTTTCCTTCTTTTTCTCTCTCACTTTTTCTCACTATGCCTCTCTCTGGACAAATAAAAATAAACAAAATTGTTAAAAAATATGAAAAATTTGAGCCAGCAGGTGCTATGGTGATTAAAGCACTGGACTCCCATGTGGCCAACTACAGTTTGAGTCCTGGACCTGGTGGCTTGCTTTCTTGTTTCCCTCTCTCTGTTTCTCTCTGGTGAGCATATGTGCCCTGTAGCAAGTATAATAATGATACCTAAAATTAAATATAGAATTATTTTTTAAATTTAACTTTACTGATTGATTGATAGATTGATTTTAATTTGACCAGAGAGGGACAGAGCAAGAGAAACAGAGAGAGAGAGAGAGAATAAGAGAGAGAATGCGAGAAAGCAAGCCACCAGATCTAGTACTTGAACCGCGAGCAGCCATGTGGGAGTCCAGGACCCCCAACCACCATGTTATCTGCCGTCCTTAAATAAATAATTCCTGGGACCAGCAGTTGGCATAATGGCTATGTCCCTGGACTCCCATGTAGTCGACCGTGGTTCGAGTCTCAGACCCGGTGGCTTAAACTCACGCCAGCCGCGTGTGCGTGCGTGCCCAAGATCCTGAGAGGAGACTGGAGGAGAAGAGATTGAAGCGGGGCCATCCACCCTGGGGGTGATTTCTTGCTTTCTACCTCTCTGTCTCTCTGGCAAGCACACGCACCCTATAGTAAAAACCTCTCCAAAAAAAAAAAAAAAGAATTCTTTAAAAAAAAAATAGGAAAAAGTGGACCAGCCAGTGGCATGATTGTTACAGTAGTTGGAGCCACATGGCTGACTTTGTGGTTCGAATCCTGGACCAAGTAGCTTGAAAAAAAAAAAAAGAAAGAAAGCATGAAAGAATAAGGATAGAAAGAAAAATAAAATATATGTGCATGGCAATACAATATTTGTGTTTTAAGGTAAGTATTGCCAAAGAATTTTAAAAATATATTTATTGGGTAAAAATGTTATAGTAAGCTAAGGTTAATGTATTATTGAAGACAGGAAAACATTTTCAATACATTTCATACAGTGTACAGTGTTTATAAAGTTTACAGTAATGCACAATGACATTCTAGGCCTTCACATTCACTCATCCCTCACAGCTGACTCACCCAGCACAACTTTTAGTCTAGCAAGCTCCATTCATGGTAAGTTCCCTATTCAGATGTACCATTTGTTGTCTTTATTTTATTGCGCCTTTTTTATGTGTAGATATGTTCAGGTACACAAACACTGTTGTGTTACAACTGCCTATAGTATTCAGTACAGTAGCATACTATACAGGTGTGTAGCCTAGGAGCAACAGGTATGTAGTAGGCCATACCATCTAGGTTTGTGTAAATATACTCTACGATGTTAGCACAACAACAAAATTGCCCAATCATGATTTCTCAAAAATGTATCCCCATCATTAAGCAACTCATGA